GACTCGAAATCGAAGGTCGAATGGTCGACCAGAAAGAATAAGCAATATAGAACTCTGGAGGTGAAGCGACCAATAACCCGTTGCTCGGTAAATATCCCAAAGAAAATGTAGATAGGTGGAAAACACTCTAAGGAGACTATTGAGTGACATAACGCTCAAGATCCTCCCCAGAATCAAACCCAAGCAGGAAACAGGGAGTTAGGCGTCCGGGGGAGGAGAATGTATGAGGAGTAGATGGTAGCTTATGGGCAAATGTAAAACTAGTCAAAGAAGAATACCGAGAAGAGTATAAAGTAGAGATGCATCGTTGAGGCACTATGTTCCACTCAGAACCCAAGGAAATAACAATAATAATAAACACTGTTAGTCATTTTATACTTTTATCTCACCCGCTCGCCGTTGCTCTACTGAGAATCGCTAAATATGAATTGATACCAAAAGACACGATTATGTCACGATTTTTGGCTTCAACGTGCATCGACATTTTCAACTGGAAGAATGATTTTAAGGGCAGAAACTACAACCAATAGACACAAAAAGCAGCATCATTTTAGATTTAGTCACACAGCAATATGGGCCATCGGATCATTGAAAACCAAGCAACTGTTACTTTTCATTTTGAGACTCTACAACAGCACACATGTGTAATCTCACTACTAGTCGAAATCAGAACCTTCAGGTTACAAGCCAAGTCCAGCCAGCCAGCCAGCCGCTTTAATACAATCCAATGACCCATGAATTCTAACTTCTGCCAACTTACCACACAACACTGCCGTCAACCGATACCATCAATGCGCATCCACTTCACATTAGACATGGCACACTGCACTGAACACGATATTTCAATGTATAACAGAAAAAATATACACGGTCTACTTGGTGAGAATAAAAAACTATCTACCTATTAATCGATAAATTCACTATTAATAGATCGTTTCATCAGCGCCAACATTCCACAGGAAACTCTATCGTCATTACTGATATTGTCTTGTTTCATCATTATCCGTGTAAGCCTTCTTTAGTATTTTTAGGTCATTTGAGTTGTGCCAGTTAATTAGACTACTGCAAACCAGCTTACCACAGATGTGTATCCATTTATACAACACACACACACGCAACAACAACAACAACAACAAATTCCTAATGAATGTCATTTAACTGAAGAATGGAATATAGTCATATCTATATTTAACTGACTGATTGACTTAGTAGTGTGGATTATTATGCGAAACTTATTCACCATTCACATTCACAGTTACGTTTCAGAAAGGAAGTGTAACGAACAGACAGAAGTAAAAAGCGAATTTAGTAGACCTTTTCGTGATCGAGACGATGACAACAAGTGAACTATTGTTAATCCCTGCCAATGACTTGGACTGGATTTTCAGCACAGAACACTAACTACTACACGCACAGAAGTGTAGCAGTTCATATTTGACATACTTTATCAGTGCATACAAAAAAAGCAGAGAAAATATAAAGAAAGAGAAGCACAAATATATGAGAGGAGAAAGGATCGTTACATGGAGAATATTGAGAGTTCTTTGTTTAGTCATGTTACCAAGCCAACCAGCCAGGCAGTCCCCACCTCTTTACGTGACAATCAAAAACTCCATGCATAGATGCCAGATTTTTTTTTGACAAACGATAAACATTCACCAGTCTAATCCGATGTCAGTTAATATTACTTGACGATGAAGATGATGACTTGGCACACGTAACATATGTCCTAGCCATCTCAATCGATGCATCTTCACAAACGCATTAATGCGAATCAATACATGAGTTCTGTTGATTTATGACATTGTAAAACTAATGTAGTTCAATACTTCAATGGAAGTTTATGGATTGTAGTATATATATATATATATATATATTGCTGTGTACAATTCATTTGTGAGAAAATTATAATACCTAACCAGCTGTTTAAGCCTAAAATCGATATAAAAAAGCTTTAGATTTCGCGAACAAAGTATGAAACTTGAGAACATCACCTTCTTTTCATTCACATAACTTAGGGCAAGCTGTAGGTATATACTTTAAAAAAAAGAAAGAACTACCTGCACTTCCTATCTAAAACAATGATGAAATAATGATAGTGATTGTTTCAAGTGTGGCCACAGATTGACAGCGAACCATTGAAAACAAGCAGGGACTACCATACAGCTGTTTCATCCCCTGTTTCAGGATTCCTCAGCAGTTGGTTCGAACCCAGGATCTTCCATTTAAGCGGCAAAGTCGTAGACCATTCGACCACTGACACCCGACTCATTGGTCAGCCCATGAATTATAACCTCGACCAATTCAGGATTTTAGGTTTGGCGCAAACTAGAAAGAAACAGCTGTCCAGTAGTCCCTCCTGTTTTTCAATGGTTCTCTAACTGATATCAACTCATTTCAAGTGTGACCACTGAAAACCAGAAAGGAGTACTGGACAAGAATTTCATCTTAGCTCGGGACCCATCGACAGCACACCCACCGCCAGTGAATGGTTGCAGGACGAAGTTGCCTGGAGTTCTGATGAGCAGCCATGATCGGTGGGGTCCATCCTGTCGGCGATTAAGATAAACACTCGTCACCTATGACATTCATTTAATGATGGCGCTAAAAGCACGAATTGGTAGGAATTAGAATTCATGGGCTGGTCATCGAGTAGGCTCCCAGTGGTTGAGTGGTCTACGAGCTTGCCTCTTAACTGGAAGATCCTGCGTTTGAACCCGGGTGGTAGGTGCCTACTGCCGAAGAATCCCGAAATAGAGGGACGAAACAGTTGTCCAGTACTACCTACTGGTTTTCAATGGTTCTTTAATTAATATTAAACCGTGATCAAAGTTGAGATAAACTAAATCCCTGCAAAAAATCTCTTGCAAATGTCATCATTACAATTAATCAGAATAAAAATAATGGCAATAATAATAATACAGCCCTACGGCAACTTCTGCTCAGGTCATTATTTAGCTGATGAAAACAGTGCATACATATATAGTGACACTGTTCGACTATATTCCCTTGAGCTTTCAATTAATTATGTACTCGCCACTATAAGCTCTTGAAAATGCATGGTTAAACAGAATGCATAATAGGATTGTTTGAAAAAAATGAAAATATTGTTTGAGCTTTATTTTCCTTATCTACTGCAGTATAAAAAGTGTTTAAAATTATACAACAGAATATTTATGTTCTGGCAAATTATAAATAAGCAGTATTGTATTATACTACTCATTACGATGAGTAGTAAACTAGCAACCACCTACACCACGCAATGGTACCTTATGTAAAATTCTGAGGACATAGAAGTATCTGAGGCTCGTTATTTGTTTAAGCACTCACTCATTTTTCAGTCGACACTTTGTGGTTTCGAAATCCACTCCGCCTATTTCATCATCCCGGGTGGCATCATCAGCAGCCAGAAAAAATATGTGTGATTCATGTTCATGTGTATGGAAAATCTACTCCGAATTAAACATGAGTAGGGAAACCACCTATATATCTTAAGATATTGCATTAAAATATGCGGATACATTGAAATAAATGTGAAGAAATAGTTAACATTCACAATTAAAACCAGAGTTGCATATCACTTCACAAAACCTTCAAGTTACAATTACAACCAATGCTCGATTTTTTTTTATTTTTTTTTAAAAAACAATTTATTTCTGATTTACAGCTTGTTTTCACACTGTATTTTTGGTACAAGTATGAAATTTTCAGCATGGATATCGGTAGCCCAAATTTCGCAGGCCAACCATAGATATCAGGTGTGCGTCGGCGTGGGCTCGAACCCCGGACCATGTGGATGGTCAGCGAGAGTCCTAACCACTGTGCCACCGACGCACTTACCTATTTTTAATTCACTTTAGATTTTTCCGTTAACTGATTCAACCGAAATGTTCGACCTCTGCGGAAAGACATTTTGGCTTCCAGTGCGGAAGCTTCAACAATGTCTGAGGATTAACTTGAAGTAATTTGGTAGAGGGTAATCAGCAGTGGATTGCAACCAATCAACGGTGGCTCTAGTGACCCAGGTGGTCTAGTGGATAGCTCTTTGGCATTTGAAAAGACGGGTGCTGAGTTCGAGACCCGGTTGGGACACCATCCCTCATTAGGGGATGCAGGTACATCCAGTTGACGAGTCCTGAATAAGCCGAAACGAGCGTTGTCTTGGATTCCAGTGTAAGTCACCATCCACTAAATAAACTCTCTATTCTGTTGACTCTAAAAACAGTTTTCGTTTGGTAAATCATTATGGAGAGTGTTTTATAACTCATATTGGTTCAGCGGCCAAAATGTTCGCTTACCGCGGGCGTGGTCCTGGTTTGATTCGCGGATAACACACTTCCAAACTTAGTCTAACTTACTGGTTGATAGCCGAATCAGAAGGCAGGAAAAGTTTGGTATGTGGTTGGTAACTTGACCCCGTAATAACACCAACAATACCATCAACACCGCTGATGAAGCTCAACAGCTTAAACCCTCATGTTCCACTTAAATAATCGCCCATGATAATGGATGGTGCTGGGATGAATTAAAAGAAGATGGAATTAACCGGCAGTCGAACTGCAAGTGAGTTGATCAATCTTAAGGTGCTCAACTCATAGGTGAGGGAACCCTGGTAGAGTTATGACTGCATACCGCTGAAGAGTTTCTAAAACAAACGAAATAGCAGTCTAATGCACCTTGGACTTGAATGACTTTCTAATTGATGTTAATTACTGATAAAATCTACTCTGATTGCAAAACAGTCCAATCGACCACTGATTAGAACGATATACAACATGAAGTAGGCTAAACAACAACAGGTGTATAGTTGGAAGAGCGAATTTTACACAAGTTTCAGGTATTGCTTGTTAATAGGTATGTTGATAAATAAAACTAAAAAACACCAAACTAACTGAATTCAAATACACTTTGTTTGTTGCTCTCTTTTTTTGTTATTTCGCTAACTGTCAACAAATTTCATAAACGTAAGCAATAATAAATTACGATAGAATAGCACTTACTGCAGCTGATGTAATGAAATCAACATGTGCCAAATTGTCATCATCTTTTTCAAAATTTATTGATCGGCAGTTTAAAACAGCTGTAAAATAACAGAAGACAAAATATAATGTAAAAATAAATTGGTATATATATATATATATATATATATATATAAAGTGTATAACGTCTTGACGATTGATGCAGTAGGACTGAACTCACCAACGGTTTACACGGAATGACTCAGATCAAAGAGTCAGATCAATTTATTCGACTTAGACTCTAGTTGATTACCTAGGGGAACTAATGATACCCAGAACCCAGTTAATTGTTTACAAAATACTCAGGTTGAGGCGAAGTTTAAGAACTTTATTGCATTTAGAAAATCAAAACAAGTGATTGAGCGAAGAGACTCTTTTCAACGAATTTATCATCAAGTTGTACAGTCGTATATATATGGTTTTTAAGAAGTTATATCCGGTGAGGGAATTGAATCTTAGGTGTGAATGCATAAAATAATAATAATAATCATATGAAGTTCAATTAAAACTGAAATGTTTGTGATTATAATTGTAGTTAAATGTCAAGTGGCAAAGCAAATTAATGTCATATACAGAATAATTCATAGGAGGGATAGAACTTGAAAAAGGATGTGCAATTATAGGATTAGTAGACAAATCGAATAAAACAAAAACATTACGTAATATTGTGTGAAATTTAATAGCATAGAATTTATCGTTGTAAAAAACAATTGATTTAGAATGACAAGTGGAACAAGTGAAATAATACCGGGGACAGTTCAAAGTGAGAATAGTAATAATAACAACTGACTTAATAAGGAAGAGTATACAAATGGAATAGACAAAATGAAAAATTGTTAGAGCTAAAATATTATTGGGGATAATCATATTTTAGCAAAGAGGGATTAAGACCATGAAAGTTGGAGAGGTTGAACGAACTTTTTCTGTACACAGAGATCTGGCTTTTCTGTTTCGATAGCCAAAGCTTCAGCAATACAGATGAGTCGGGTACGTAGGGATTTGGGTAGATTGCTCTTTGCCTTGTAAATGATTTTAAAGGTGGAGGCTATAGAGATAGGGTGATCATTATTGACCAGATGTTCTATGATCGCGCTTCTTATTGCTCCACTTCCACCTTTTCGTAGCCATGCAGGATAATGTTCTTGCACCCTCTTGGACAAAACTCGAGTCGAACGACCGATATACCTAGCTCCACAAGAGCAGGTGCAACTTTATTGCAATACAAAAACTCAAAACTCAGTCAATTCGAGCACACTATTGATAAACTTGGTGCCAGATGGTCAAAACAAATGTCGGAGACTTACGGCATTTTCATTTGACTGGCTTGCACTGGTAACGGAATAACTGTGTTCGAAAATCTCTCCTGAACGGTCTGATTAAAATATTGATAATTATTCGGATGTTTCAGCTAACTAGACTGTTTATCATTGTCCTGACAAATTTGAATATCATATGTTGACCTTGTCATGACTATTTGTCATTGTTCCTATTCATTCAATCTCCAATTTTAATGCTTCAATTTGTAGCTGTGCGATACATTAATAAAATATATTGTTTTACGATATGATTTTGTTTGAGTGAATGAAGGTGACCCTGACCTTGGACGGTCTGCGGGAAGTATTAGAGTGTGATTCTCTAGACTGAAGTTTTAATCCCACTGCGTTGTTGGGAATATTCTACTTGATTCTCAGATACTTCTTACAGTAGAATTTTAGTTAACTTTTTTTTTTCTATAGTAATTGTTTTTTGTACTTAGAAAGTGACCTTGTCTGCATAGCTGCCTAACGTCAATGTTATGGTAATTTTAGGTTTTTTGTTGTTATTAGTTGGAAAGGAGGACATAGGCATCAGTGGCTCAGTGGCAGAATGAACGCCAACCACGCATGTGGTCCAAGTTTCGATCCCCGGCCACCGATGCACTCCCTTACCACCTTAAGCCGGTAAAAAAAACGGTAAAGAAGTAAGGTTGAGCATGTTGCCAGCAGCCCCATCCTGTAAAAGCAAAAATATGCACTACTGGCAAAACTCCATAGCTAAAGCTTGAAGTCCTATGTTCCCCTCGAAGCGCAAAAGGAATTTAAAAAAGGCCTTTCCACGAAAGACAGTCTTTTGCTATCTATGAAGTGTCTCGTGACTGTGTGTCTCTCTCAAGGAAGTTTCGGAAAGCTGTACAATACGACACAAAGAACGGAAGCCTGAGTGCAGACCACAATGAGTCGGTTTTGATTGTTACTGACTGAAATATTTAAATATTCCTATTATTAATATTAAAACAAGACATATAAGCGGACAATATTGTTTTCGAATAGATCTTCTTCAGGCTTTACTCTAATTTACATTCATACATACATTCATTCAATAAGATGCAGACTGAACGCTGCCATGAAGAGGACATATCCAGCCGCCAAGCTTGTGTGTGTTTATCAAACAACTAGTTGTTTGAGACAATCAAAAGTGGATAAAAATCCACCTCATGTTACCTCCAACTGTGTCAACCAATTTACATGTACGGGCCAAAGCACATACATTGGAAGAACAGAGAGAAGAGTTAGTGTCCGCATTTATGAACACATACCAAAGAACTTGAGACTGGAAGGCCCGCAAGCATTAAACAATGCTATTGCTCGTCATCTATTGGACGCTGGTCATATTGTAGACAATCTGAAGTCGTTTAAAATAATCAACAAGCAAAAGAAACCTATGTAAGCAGAAAGACACAGTGGTGAATCTTGCACTGCCCTGGTGATAACAAAAAACAAATATATACAACTTTCATGAGTCACCTTTTTCATGTTTAGAAAACTCTACTCTCTCATCTAAACATGACTCACCCTACCTTGTTTCTTTTCTTTCCTTTTTTCTATTGGCTATTAGATAAGACGTTTTCTTAAGTTACGTAATCTACTTTTTGTTATGCTCTTTCTAGCTAAACCTTGTTTCTGCACACATGTCAAACAAAAACTTGGCACCAGTCAATCAAATCCACAACAGTTGGTCTAAGCCACGTAGGAAGGTGCAGACTTCCAGGCTGGGGTCCTCGGGACGGTAAAAATCTATGGTTGGAAACAATTGGTGACATGGCTCAAAATCGTTCTCAGTGGCGCAGATGCATCCACTCCTTGTGACTTATGATCTCCAATGAAACTGTTTATGTTTTTCTTTATTACTCCTTTGTCTCATACCTCTGCTCACTGTTTCTATTATGCTTTTCTTGTACTTTCTTCTCTTGCTTCGCGTGCTACACGGAGTGTGGCGACTTGAACTTCCGCACATTTGTGCGAAGTTCTATGTCGAAAACAGACAGACACATATATATACACAACCCTGTTTTTTGTTTCCAAGCCTAATTGTTTAATTATTCTATAAATAGTCAGGGTTTGTAACTCCTAATCAGTTAAATCATTCCGGACTAATGTTACTTTTACTTCCTACCAACCAATTACTCCTTGTGATCGCGGAAAAGTATGTTCAAATCTTTAATGTAATGTAAGTCATATTTTTTAACGTTCAGGTTGTAACCAGTTGAGAAGAATCCTCGAAATAATGGAAGATGAGCTCGTATTATCCTGGTACAATTGTGGTTCTTGCTTTGTTCAAGTTTACATAGATTTATACATAAAAATTTTTAACCAATGACGGTGATTTTGTGGATCAAATAATAGTAATAGTAATAATGTGGTAAATGTTTTGAACGTCATTCATAACGATGATTATAATGATAACAAAATATTGATAATAAAGTTTATGCAGGTGACGATGAGAATAACAAAGGTTGTAATGTAGACAATTCAATAAATAAATAAATTAGGTCAAACAAATCATAGCAGTTACGTAATACTAAAGGTGAAGTGGACAGATAATCATAGTTTAAACAAATATCATAAAAGTAAAAAGGAAATGGGAAATAAGAAAGGGTGGGAAAGTATTGATTAGAATTCACCTAGGCAAGCAAGGGTGAGACAAAGTTAGAACAAACTTCTTTTGTATTCAAAGACTAGGATTGTTCTCTCGAAATCTCATAACTTTAGCTATGTGTAAAAGGCGGATTCGAACTATTCATATAAGTCAAACGTATATAACGTTGTCAGTTGTTGTTCTCAATTTTTTTTATCAAATCAGTTCATACAATGTGGCCTTTCTTTTTCACTTCCCAAAGGAACTTGTGATGACCCCCCCCCCACCGCAATCCGTCTACTTTCTAAAGAACTAAGTGGGTTTCGTCATAAAATAATATTTGTAGAAAAATAAAATGTAAAACAATATGTAGTCACTGTTTCATTACTTTCCATTAATTAATTGAAATAGAATATTATATTATGAATTGTTTGTTTTTTAAAGAAAAGAAAAAGATGAACATTATCAAGATGGCGAATGGATTTTTTGAACATTTTCCCTAATTTTTTACACAGGATTTATTTGATAAGTTTCTATTCACTTAAACTAACCAGCATTTTCTGTATTGAGGTGACCGGTGTATGCATCCCCAGCTTACTACAATCAATTATTCACAGATGTGTACCAAACGCTGAGTGAACATTTCATTCCATCATATCAAAAATCGATAAACTGTGAAAGTATCATTAGAAAAAGAAACTAATCTCCATTACCAATCTACCGTTATAATAATTGATTAGCCTAAGGGAAGAACACTGTAATATTCGATTTTTCATTCCTTTGGCTTCCCAGGAGGACGAACACAACAGGGCTTCAAGCTCGAGTTTGGAAATTTCAGTGGCAGTGGTGTTTATTTACAGGGTGAAGTTGTTCCCGCCTCTGCCGAGTTTAGAACTGGCTACGGCAGGTAAAGGTGTGCACCCGCCGAGAATCGAACTCCTAACCATGTATATGGTTGGAGAGCGTTCTAGCTCTGTACCACTGACGCTGAAAGTACGTCTCCGAGATGAGATATGATAGACATTAATATTTAGACTCCGGCTCCAGTGAGAACACCAGAATTTACTGAGATGAATACACATCCATTGAATGAGTTTCAAATTGGAGATAAATCGCGTGCAGAACAGAAATTCCGTCTACCAAACCCCTACTAAGTGTATTACCAAGA